TCTGGGGATATTAAGGCACGGAGGGGGAAGGAATGGGAATGTGCAGCAGGCTTCAGTCTCCCTCAATGGGTAGAGGTTGGGGCAAGGTCATCAAGCCCAGTTCCTCCTCCATGCCTTGATTTGATTTATTTAATTTGTATACTGCCCCTCCCAGCCAAGGCCAGCTCAGGGCAGCTTACAGAACAGAGTAAAAATTCCAAGAATACATATAAAAACACAGCAACAGTTAATATAAATACAATATTAAAACCAAGCAGATAATAAAGTGCTAGCATAGTTCTTCACTTTTAATGTCAGCTCCATTGGTCTGCTTCAGTTGCTTTGCTTCAGTTGTTTTTTTTGGAGGGGGGGGTTGGTTCGGGCAATAATTAAAGGGACCAGCGGATCAGGGCTCTTCCACCACACAGTGTCAATTGTTGTTGGTAATGGTAGTGGTGATCAGTGTTCCCTCTAAGCTGAGTTAGTGTGAGCTAGCTCACAGTTTTTTAGCCTCCAGCTCACACATTTTGTCTTAGCCCAGGAAGGATTGTTCCAGAGCAAACTAATTTATGCAGCAGCCAAATTACTCACTCACAACTTTAATGCCAGTAGCTCACAAAGTAGAATTTTTGCTCACAAGACTCCACAGCTTAGAGGGAGCATTGGTGGTTCCGTGGTGGTAGTGGTGGCAGCTCTAAAGGCTTGGTGGAAGAGCTCCGTTTTACAGGCCCTGCAGAACTGTAGAAGGTCCCGCAGGGCCCTGATCTCCTCTGGGAGCTCATTCCACCAGAGTGGAAAGCCCTGGCCCTACTTCTGGTTCTTACCTTTAACACCCTTTATGGCCAGGGACCTACATAACTGAGGGACCACCTTTCCCCATATGTACCCCAGAGAGTGCTGCGATCAGGGACCCAGAATCGGCTGGTCCTCCCAAGCATTAAGGAGGCCAGGTTGAGGACAACTAGGGCCTTGATACCCCAGAATCATCACCCACAAAAAGATAATGTTTCTAGAAAAGAGCAGAATCATACTCCATCAGTGCTTTTGTGTCTCTACTTGAACTGGTTTGGTATTTCTGTAGCACCAGGCACAGTTTCTTCTTGGGACATATTTATTATCAGTCTTCTCAACATTCCTGGGAAGGGGACATGGCTCCGTAGTAGAACACCTGCATGGCAGGCAAAAGGTTCAGTCCCTGGTAACTCCAGTTAAAAGGTGATGTTGTGGTGATCGTATACAAACAGAATAGGGATTCTGCTTCTTTAAAGGGCTCCAGAACAGGGGTCCTTCCTGGGCTAAGACAAAAATGTGTGATCTCCTCCTCATTCCCCCCTCCCCTCCTCTCTCCAGCCAGTAGTCTGAGGGCAGCTCCCTAGCGAGGACAGGCATTCCCCTGGCATACTCATCCCATCATAGGACAACTTGGAGCCGGGTTAAAAAGCCACTATGTCACAGTGGTGTTTTTGGTTCCCTGCGCATTCATTGCGCATGGCTGGATGTCTGAATGTAGGGGAGCGTGCACAGAATGGATCTGGCAGTCTGAACCTGCAGATGCGTTCCCACTAGAGAGGTTTTTTGAATTTTTGCCTTTATGCATGCACATGTGCACTTATGCACATGCATGCGCACACATGCATTTTGAAAAATTTCCAGGCAGCGCACTCTGTGGCTGAGGCACTGCAGTAATGTGGATACTTGACCACGGGATGTCTGCGTGGGTAACCCGCAGCAGGGTGTGTCATCTGGATATATGCCCTGCAACACTTTAAACCAGTACAATTAGAGGCGGCACCATATCAGGCCAAGCTGCCTGTGTGACCACAGCCTTAGAGCACTTAAAGATGGCCTTAAATAGAGTCACCTTAGATGGAACCTGATATTCTGCGGTGGATGAAGAAGAAGAAAAGGTAACTGGGTACTAAGCATCCTCTATGGAGGTAATACATGCACAAAGCTACCAATTATAATGGATTCCTGCTTTCACAAGATTTCCCATTCCACAGTCTGTGCTTCTGCCTCAGTTCCTGGCAATGTAGTGAAGCCCAAACAGCTTTATAACCATCATCCCCAAATCTAGTCCATAGTCTAAATTTTGAGGCTACTGGGCAATTTTACCAATTTCCAGAAAAACATCAGGCCATAGAATACTTTCCTGTGCTGGTGATCCATTAACCCTTGTGTTGCTGTAATACACTCCAGATCAGATCATTTTGGTGACTCGCATCCGGTTAACGTAAAATGCATATTTAATTTTACTTATGATGAATGAAAAATCTGTCCTACATATTAAGAACATTCACTGCGTAATCAAACATCGTCCTGCAGTCATGGGAGGAAGTCAGGTTCTAGTTTTCAGGTGCATACCATGACCCTCTTCTTAGTAAGTCTAGTTGGAGGTGACAATGTATATTTCTTGGACTTGAGGCACTTAATTAAGGAAAATTAATGAAATTGCTATCCCCCCCCCCATTCTCTGCCTCAGAAAGAAACCCATGCGTTTCAATTAGCACTAGAGACAAAGCTGAGTAACTGCTGGAATTTATATGTTCAAAAGGAGACTGCTTTTAGCCCAATAACCTTGGTTCAACTTGAGATATTTGTTCTATTTATCATAGCTTAATATATTCTCTGTAATCCACTCACACATAGTGGAACATTTATACCACACTCCAAACACCAATTTTTCTTCCTCTCCTCTTTTAACATTTTTATACTAAAAAGGTAGCCTTAAGAAGAATTCTGGAGAACTTGAGAAAAATTGCTCATTACTTATGACATTTTAGCAGGTCCTATTAAAAAGATATTACACCAATGTTATTTTTGATTTTTTCCCCTTAAGGACCCATAGCAGCTTCCTTAGAGAGTACAGTTACTGTTTTTGACATAGCGTTATTATCAGGTAAATGATAATGGTAAAGTAGAATCTTTCCAGAAATGCAAGGGTCTTCACAGCATATCTTGCACTGTTTACCATCTGTGCCTGTTCACATCAATATGGATGACTTTTCAAATTACAGCTAGTACATGCTTCTCAAAGGATGATAAAATGATCCCTAAGTGTATATTGGCTAGGCAAACATTTTGAGGCCTCAGCTTCACAAGAACACATAATTAATTATATCAGGTATTTAACTTACATGAACAGGAAGCTTATGTGTAAACCAACTTCCCACAAATCTTTAATATTCACTGAACCACCAGAAGTGAATGTGTGTTTGTGTGAGTATGTGCGTGTGGAGGTTAATGTTCTGCACATCTCCACTCTTAACATATTTCTTGAAAGTAGCATCCACGGAAGCCAATAATACTTACTGTAAGGTAACAGCTGTCAGCTCAGCGGGGTGTTAACCCAATAAACCCCACTAATCTCATACATATTTTGTCTTGTGAGTGATTATGTCTAAGATTCAAGTAGCACCCTCATTGTACCTGGAGATAAAAATCAACTAAATAATAAAGCCCATGCTTACCACCACTTTCTAACATTCAGAAGGACAACAGTGCAATCCTGTGCCAAGTTACCCCACTCTAAGCTCACGGAATTCAATGATCATAGACTGGAGTAACACTGCATAGGACTGCATTGTACATGTAAATGCCAGATGTCCTGAAGGCAGATGATTATTGACTGCCCTTCCCAGAAACCAGGCTCAAGGCAGTTTACAGTGATATAAAACCAGCAAAGGAACAATTAAAATGATAAAACATTAGATTCTAGAAAAAAACCAAGATGGCATCCGAGTCTGAGTATCAAAGCAGGTGCTTACAATGTTTATTATGAAGGAACCAGGGACAAAGCAAAAAGTTTGCATGCAGAAGGTTCAAGGTTTCTCCATTTTATAGGGTGCCATCTAGGAAGGCTGGGAGCTTGGAGAAACCTTGCGAGTCAGAGACAGTACAGAATGAAATGGACCAATGTTTGTAAGTTTCATAACCGACCTGTAGGTTTGGTCCCCACTGGTGACTTTGGTAATTCTATCTCCACTGAGGTCCCAGGAGGCCAGAAATACTAGGGATAAATGGGGATGGGATGCGTGTATGACTTCCTCCACTACTTCAAAGTCCACTGCAGCATGCAATGGGTCTTGCTCATTATTAGTTGAAACCTGTCCTGGCTAATGCCTTGACAGCTGGCAGGGGGTTTCTTTTATCCAACCTCAGAGTTCAACAATGGCTATCTTGCAGTGCAAGTTTTTAAAGGCACACTGGTATGTAAATGAGATCCAGGCTTCTCTTCTCATGGGTGAAGCCATAATCCTTAAGAGAGATGGCATTGGCCACTTCAAAATAATTGATAGATTTAATTTATGGGAAGGGGAGGGGGAATGATTCTGGCACCTCTGAACAGAAGATATGGAGCTTAGGAAATAGCTTTTACCTTTAAATCCCTAAAAGGTGATTTGAATTTTTATTTGCATTTTGTAATGTTCTTTGAATCTCAGCAAGAAAGGGAGACTATAAGGTAAGCAAGCAAATAAACAAATCTGGGACAAAGGGCAATCTTACAAAGACAAAAAAGAAGCCGTGGTACAAACATAGCCTACCTTTTCGTTTAAGAAGTATCTTCAAACGTTTTAAAAACAAAATCACATCACCAAAATGACAAATGAATTCCACAAGCAATACACAATTGATTCAGCTGCTGTACGAAACTTTTGAAGAAGTCCACTACTGTTAAGGAGCTCACTTGAATCAGATGGGTGTGGCTTGATACGTAAATGACAACAAGCAACTTTCCCTGGAGAGCAACCAAGGAGAATGCTCTCTCCAGTAACTATCTGCCCAATCTCTAAAAAGTGATTAAACAAGGCCTCAGAAGAAGGAAATGGAAGAAAGCCATCCTTTAGGTACCCTTGGGCCAGACTCAGTGGAGCAAAACATGCACCACATGAGGTTTACGACACAGTGAAAACATCTCATTGTCCCATATAAAAGAAATGTATTAAAGCAAACCTATCACATTCATTTTGCTTTAAATCAAAAACACTTTGAACTAGCAGCAATAATATAGGTAAACTTACTTCAAAGTCGAGGTCCGAATAACGCGATTTTCTTCTCTAATAAACATAGGAGAGGGGGAAAAAACACTGTGTATTAACTTAATTTTGAACTGTACATCTGAACATTTCTATTTTCCTTTATTTAATACTGATATTTTTAGCTTAGTGTCATTTAACATTTGGTGGAACCATAGCAGTATGTCATACCAGATTCCATTTGCTTACCACATAGGGGACCTCCGTAATCAAGACACCGTTTGTTAAATTACTGCTCCAATTTTTGCAAAAGCAAGAGATTACAGATAGTGTCCCAAACTAAGTACTTAGAATAGTTCTTTTCTACTACCAGGTAGCTTTCACAGTCACAGATCCACATGGGTCATGTCTCTATAGATAATGGTCAATAATTTTTTCAAATCACGGTTGATATTTTTAAAGGCAAAACCAAATATATGTTTGCTGTGCAGCTACCCCTTTGCTTGTGTTTAACTGTGTAGATCTACCCTAGAAAAACCTGCTTACTACACACTGCCATCTGGCCATCTTCTGACAAGAAAGCTTTTAAAAGTTAGCCATCTCAAAACATTATTAATGCTAATTGCCCAATTTGTTATTTCGGAGATTCCAATGAAATCCCCCCCCCTTCTCCAAGAATCCCCTATACCGCCTGCTTTCTGGCCCAACACTTTCATCTCTGTAGCTGCATTATTTTAAGTGCTACTAAACATATGAAACTACTTTATACCAAGTCAAATCATTGGCCATCTAACTCAGTATTATGTATAACTAGCAACTGCTCCAAAGTTCTGAGGTGGATATGCTGCTGAGGTTCTTTTGTATGAGGATGCCAGGGAAGGACAGACTGGGAGAGGAAAATGGCCCTGAAAAAGGTCTCCACACCAACCCCAAAGAGGAAGGAAGAGGCAACTTCACCAGAAACTTTTTTCCAAAGTCCCCCATGGGGCTTGGATGGCCTGGGAGCTCCCCTGTGCAGAACTTGGGTGTTACCTGACCTGGGCCATGCACCGCCTCCCCTGGGCTGTACAGGCCTTGGGAAAACCACACAGGCCTCAGGTGAGCAGAGCATTACCACCACCAGGCTATGCAGACTTTGGCTGGACCTCCCTGAGCCAAGCAGGTCTCTGGAAAGCTGGGAACCTCCATACATTGGGGGACTGTGTTGCTTGCCTCCCAAAGCAGGTCCTTATTGCCACTGGACTGACCTGGTCCAAGTGGGGAGATGTCATAATGGCAGATTCACCCCTGGTGCCAGAGACTGAAACAGAACCTTCTATATTCAAAGCATGTATTTGTCTACTAAGTCATGTCCTCTCCACCTAAAAACAGGGCTTCCAAATCTAGATTTGGGGATTCCTGGACATCTGGGAATGTTGCCGGGGAGGGGGGAATTCACTGGGGGGGGGGGATGCGATGCCATATAGTCCACACTCCAAAATATTTGTTTTCTCCAGGGAAACTGATCTCTGTTGTCTGGAGCTCAGCCATAATTCTATGAGGACTTCAGGCCCCACCTTGGGCTTTGTGACTCTACCTAAAATGGGTTGTCATAAGGGAACTAGAGGTGGTCAGTCATTGGCTGGCCACTCTTGGGAGCAATTGAGGGTGTGTGCAGAAATTGCCATTCCATGATGATCTAGGAAATCTCCAAATCTCTATGATTTCTACCAGAGATTTGGGAACTCCTAGAATGCTGCATGATGCTGTGATGCCACTTTTGGGTACAAACCTAGACGTGATGTCATGACATCATGTGATGCCAACCCCTTGTTTTTTACCACTGTCCCATCAAGCAGCAGTGGGAACCCAGAGGCCAGTGTGGGAGGCAGCACAACACAGCAGAAAACCTGGCAGCCCTAATAGTGAACCCGTAACTCACTTTGGAAACCAAAACACCCGGAGGGGATAAAGTCATGCCTTGAATCTGGTGCCTGTCACATTACTCTTGCAAAATTAAACATTACAAAGGGATTAAGTTATTTAGGATTAAGATCCTAAGGTGCTGTTCAATTGGTGCAGCAGCAGTTCCTCTATTTGAATGGCTTTTCTGGATGCAGAGGAGAAGAGGGAGATTTTCACCAGTTCCCTTTTCCTACTGTAGGCTCCCAATTTGCTCCCCATGGTGTTCTTCCTAATGAAGGCGGGGGATGAAGGTTCCAGTGAGAGAGGGAGGTGGAGAAGTTGACTTCCAGCATGACTCCACAAGTGCTGCTAAGGATCCAAGCAATAATTTCTTTTGATTACTCAAGCCAGAAAGTAAAGTTGTTACTGCTCAATTCTATCCAAGTTTGTTCAAAAGTGCGTCCACTACCCTGAGTTCGACTAGGCTTATTCTCAACTATGCACAAGACTGCAGCCTTAGTGGTAAAACAATAGTAGTTGAAAGGCAAAGCCTGAGTTTTCCCTTATTTCTTAATTAAAGAGACTATTAAAATAAATGCTAGATCAGCTGTGCCACAAAAAGGAAGGTTTAAACCTTGGACAAAGGTTTAAACATTGAGAATGATGATGTTTTGCCAAATACGGCCGTAGAGGGAGAGACAATTTCTTCAGACATCACACAGTGCATGTAGCCCCATGAAGGCAACTGCTGAGTCAGTAGTTAATTAGGTGGTTTAAATTGTCATTTTGAAACAATTTGCAACATCATTTTTACCAATGTATTTGACAGCCTGTTATGAATCCAACACAGAAGGGTGTAGTCTGTTGAAGCTGGTATGTTGGGGTGTGTGTATGGAATGACAGGGTTAGAACATACTTTGCATTCTGCTTGCTTGTTTGCTCACAAGTGAGGCAAGTATTGCAGCTTTATGCATGTATGGGCAGAACTGTGTGATTAGGCTTATGTGCCCACTGGACTCCAGTGGCAGCTTAAGCTTCATGGTAAAGATGGGCAAGTTCCACACTGTACCAACCTTCCTGCAATGCAGTTTGTTTGGCTAGTCGTCACAGCTGGAAGCCTGGCTGTGAAGTGTACCATTTATATGCACTGTAACTTTGAAAGTGTATGTGCATTTCAAACATTTCAAGTGGGAGTTATCCATTTAACTCTGCATTACAGAAGAGCCATGTGCTATGACTTTGCCTTTCTGATATGCACATGATGAGACCAAGGGTGAATGTTCCACAAGAAAAGGAACAGTCTGCAGCTATGCATCAGAACAGAAAGACAGTAATGTGGTATGATTCTGAGCCAAAGGTTGCATTTGCTTGCTAGAACAAACGGCAGGTGTGGATGGGGGAGAGTCTTCCTGAATTTTTTAAAATTGTGCAACAAGAGGACTATCTAGTTGGCCTTATGCACACATCCGTGAACAGTGCCCCCCCCCATGAGTGCTGTGGGTTGCCAAGGGGGTAATGTTTTTGCATGTGGGTGACAGGAAAGTCCCATACCCACTGGGGAGGAGGAAGATGCAGTTGGCAAATGTTCATTACATGCACAGTTGTTTAATAGTTGTGGGGTACCTAATGGGTTGGATCCAGCCACAAGGCGTTTGTTCAGGCAGGTTCTGCGATACCCATCACAGCTTTTTGGGGCGGCAAAAGGGGACATGAAGCTGATTTTATACTGAATCAGGCCATTGGTAAGTACTGTCTACTTAGACTGGCAGCACCTCTCCAGGGTCCCAGGTAGAGGTCTTTCACATCATCTGCTCCCTGGTCCGTTGAGCTGGAGATGCTGGGGATTGAACCTGGGACTTTCTGCATGAAAGCAGGTGCTCTACCACTGAGCCACAGCTCCTCCCGTTTTCACCTGTGGATCTACCCCAATGTTCTTCCATCAAATGTGTGTCAATAGCAGGGAAATAATTTTTTTCAGTTGGACAACTGAAACCAGCACCTGCCCAAAATGCTGGAGTGTTGTAGTACACACATTTCACACATGTTTAAATTGTATTTTTGCTTTATTTTGTAAGCTGCCTTGAAAGTCCCAGATATAGGAGAAAAGCATAGCACAAATGTTTAAGTAATAAATAAATAAATTCTAAGAGTGATTTAGGGCAAATGGTCTAACAATGGGCATGATAAATGTACTAAATGGAAAATAAGTTTCTAATTGTTCTGGTTTAGTTTTAAGGGGGGGAAATGATATGGAATGATAGGGAATGAATGCATACCATGAATACTCTTAATACACTGAGCTGCCTCCTAGAATTTATTTAATAATACCCTCTTGATGATGTGATAGTTTGGTGTTATTTCAGAAGACAAACATGCATGGGGGAAAGAACTACCATAACTGTGTTTACGTGGGTCGGGGGGAATTAGAATTAACCCTCTTTCTTTTTCTTTTTTTTTGCAAAGTCTTCGATATTATTTCAGCTGTATGGATTCTGAAAATGTGTGAGTCATGGTCGTTCTGTGGCCCTTTGGTACCTCTGGCACCTATGCTCTATTCAGATTTTGCATGGAAGTAATTAAAACTCTTGGTACCGGCTTCTGTTTCCAAGGCACAAATGTGTGCTCAATCCAACTCAAACTCTATTGTCTCTGAGGTTCAATATTTTCAAGCACAGCATGTATCTGTGGCATAGTGGAGCTGCCACTTTCTGCTAACCCCTTCACAATTATCCGCTGTTTTAGGAAGCAATGAGAGAACTTCAAGGAAGACAGCAATTTAGTCATAAAGCCAGGCCCGTAGCCAAGATTTTTTAAGTCGGGGGGCATTTTAATTTCTCGGGGGGCACTGGTTAACTTAATTAAAGGTGATTTAATTAACTCCCTCTGCCTCCCAGCCCCCAAATGGAGGCTGAAAAGTTTCAAGTGTGCTTATTTCCTGCGGGGGGGGGGGGATTGTTTGTTTGTTTGCTACGGAGGGATTAGGCAACTGGTGCTAAAGATCTCCCAGGATCATTCCTTGCCATGACCTCCCCCTGGCATAGGCTTGCCAAGCCCCCGCTGAGGATGGGGGAACCCCTGCTTTAAATAGTCCTTCCCCGCTTTTTAAAAATTGGGCCCTGGGGAAAAAAATGGCGGCCGGAAAGTGACGCTCTAGGATTTAAGTCCTCCAAGTCTCTATGGCTAAGAAAACCATAGAG